AGATAAGTCTGCACATGTTCACATTTTGGGAAAGTCTTACGAATCTGTCCTCTCTATAGTGGCTCGGAATCTCTTCTCCTGTATTACCTGCTTTTCCTCCTCTATTCCCTCTTTCTTCTCGAAAGTGTTCTCATTCCTTCTTGCCCTTTTCCTCCTAGCTGTAAATAGCCATGTTTTTCTGGATAAATCGGTCTTTTTATTAATATGCAAACTACCTCTGCAAGCAAAATATCAGGATCAGAATGTTAGCCCTGGCCACTGCCATTTGTCGTGACCATTACAAGCCATCACTTCCGCTTCTCTACCACCTCTTATGATGCCTAGTCCGGTCACTTTAGCTTGTCTGAAAAAGGCCGTTAAAGCCAGCCATGGCAGTTGATTGCACAAAAAATGCAAATCACTTACAGACAATTATGTCCCAATTTTATTGCTTTTCTGTCATGACCCCAGTGGACTCAGTGCCTGGCCACTTTTGGTGGCCTTTCAAGGGTCTGATGAGCCCTCACATTCATGCGTGCTGTATTTTGACGCTGCCAATGCGGGCACCAAGACTGACGACTACAGGCGTCGCGTTAATGCAGATATGACCTTTTTGGTGATGGTGGTGGTTTTCATTGCCCTGTCAGTCGCTATGACGATTGCGATTTGTAGCTCAAGCCCTGTACCGCTTTTCTTCTGCCGAACGGCTCGAGGTGGGTATTGTTGCGCGAAGAATGGAAGGCCATATAATACGGGGATTTTACTGCGTTTGTGGCCTGATTTTGGTAGTTCGGACCTACTCTCGAACCTCTTGTTATGTTAATCAGCTTGCGTTTGGATGGCCCTATTTGGCCTCGCCGGCTCCAAAAGCAGAACCTTTTCTCCTTTTTGCTATTCACCCACTTCGATCTCGGGACAATTAGTCTTGTTTTGTAGGTGGGCCTGGCGACTGTAGAGTCTAGGCTGGATTCACGTTCTCTTGACTAATGATAAGTCGTCCTGGAGACTTCAATCATACAAATCTGTGCACAGACATGCTTACACGTGTGCATCTGTGCCTTACCAGAACATATCTACTAGTCTGCATTGATAATCCTACAAACATATGTACATATTGTACATATTCAATTGCAAGATTTCGTTTCTATTAAGTCTGGCTAGTTACGGCCACTCGTGTGACCTTCGGTATAGTCATGTGATGTATTGGATCACTCGTAAGCTTTTAACAGTCTGATCTAGAAAGATGGTCCAAAATTATCTAAAATAAGGCACGGCTAGTGTTAATTGCGCTTTATTCTGTGTTCCGCTGTTCCACCTCCTCAATAGTTCTAATAACCTTTTCGAAGACTGATGTGGTGGCAAAATCAAGAACTCGCGCTAACTAGCGCCTTGCTTTTCCAAAAGTTGTTATCATCGAGACAGAAGTGGACTGTAGTTTCGACCTCGCATCGGTCTTATCAACACCCTCAGCGGGAGTCGAACCGCGACAGTGCAGGATGGGAGCTTGGCACTCTAACCAATCACGAAAACAATACTTAATTCGAAAAATAAAAGATATTTTCTCCAAGTGTCATTTGGCTTACAATTGTTGCTTTCATTTTAATTTCCCGTAACAGTGTAAGATGAAGAAATTTGCGAAAGTCGATCTCTCGAGAAGACGACTGCCGGTCTGCCTTGGCTTTTTGTGACCTTCTGGTTGGCGCAGTTTTCGAGGCATTTGCCTTCTGTTTTGGCGAAAATTTGCTCAGATTTCGTATTTCGGGTACCACTCTTTCTTGTCTGCCTGACAGTCAGTCTACTAATAACGAATTGAATAGAATGAATGCCTTTTCGATATTCTTCACTTTTTTCCGAGATGAGTATGCTCTTAAGTTATCAATAATTTTCGAACAAGAATAAAGTGATTTGATAATTGATAGTAGAATTTTTACCACGGTGATATGAGTCACGATGATCTCACAATGCAAATGAATTTCATTGCGTTTCCAACATCACCGGTATCCCCAGTAGGATTCGAAATCGAATTTTATGCGCTTCGCCACTTTGCTACAATCACGGGTTCCAGTAAATCACTGGGCAGATGTAACTTTTAGGGCAATTTAGGCTCGTCTCAAATCACACTTTTGTACTAATGAGATTGTCGTTGAGGCAGACTTAAGGTTATATTAATATAAAGTAGCTTTTCATCCTAGATCGCAAAAGACGATGAAGGACGGGTAGCTTGTATCTAAACCTTATTTTCATAAATATAATTAACGTTGTCGATTGTAATGGCAAAATGCAAGTTTGCCTCATCGACAGTC